AGGGGGGGTGTTGGTTGCTTTATTTAAAATAAACTAACCTTTTTACTGAGTCACCATATGGCTTGTATTTGCTGCAAGTTTTTCCTCTGCTTGTGATTTCATACCACACTCCACATTTTGTACTGGGCAGCCCAGTAAGAAAGAGACTGTTGGATGCTTTCCAGTATGCACAAGGGCCACAAGGCAACAGCGGCTTGTTGTAGGGGCAACTTTTGGGACGATGGACCCAGAACCACATTTCATCTAACTTCCACCATTTCAGCAGCCAACAGGCTGCTCTGCTTCAAGGCTGAAGCTGCTTGCCTTTTGTTCTGTTCTCATTTTAACTTCTCTCTCTCTCTGGAATTTTCACTCTCAGACAAGGGACATTGTATCATAATTAGAATGTTATTTGGCTTGCCTTAAGCAGGTGTGATTGAATTCCACAGCTGCCTCTGGACTTTGAAATGGGGTCAAACCAAGCAGGAGCTGAATCCAGGTACTTTAACAACCTTTTTTTTTGTTAAAAGGAAAGTGGCATTACAATCCTTGTTGTGGCATCACTAGGTTAAAAGGAAGATGAGTCAAGCATGGTGTTTGAATAATCACAGGGATTCAGGCTAGGAGACAGAAACAATCAAATTGCCTTCAAGGTGGTCACAAAAGTGACATCATCAAAAATCTCTTCCATTACTGAGTGACTAAAGCAAATAATTACCAAACTTAGGGCCAGAAACTACTTTAGAACCAGAGAAGCTTCAGTGCTGAAGGACTTCTAAGGACTGTATCTCACTGGTGCCAACCTTGACACACAGTAGCAGGAAACACAAGGTTGACGAAGCCTTAGAAATGCTGGTTTGAAGGAATGCAGAGTTCTCCAATTCTGCATTCCTTACTGTCCTGCTGAGCACCAAGAAGCACAAGTCCTTCTTGTGTCCTCCAGCACAAGTCGTTTGAGCGCTGGTGGTCGGACATCAGAGCGCTGCTGCTCTGAGATGTGTTAACAATGCTGGCAGAACCAAACCTGCTGTCCCTGCTGGCATGGGAGGCGATGCCTTGAGCTACCAGGAAACTGAACAGGCCCTAAAAGAGCTCATGGTTCACGTACCCACCTGCCGCTCTGTACCGTCACAGCCACACACCCTCTGACTACCAAGGGGTGAATGTCTGTGCTGCTGCTCCTGTCTGTGCGTGCGCAGCCATCAGCCCTCTCGCCGTGGTCTGACCAGAACTATCAGCACCAAATTAAATCCTCACAAAACGCCATCACCCATCAGGCAATTGGATATTTGAAGGGGGGGCCACAAGCCCTGGAAAAGCGGCTGTAAGAGAGTCAGAACACGACAGGAGCAGGTGAGACAGAGCACCAGGGAAAAGAAGGTAAAAGAAAACCCCACAAGTCACTGATAGGAAAAGATTTTCCATTTAATACTAGACTCTCTCAGGATTGAGATGCAGGCTTTTTATGCAATTACATCCAATGTTAAAATTGGTAATACATAATTTACAAAGATTAACATCAAAACAATGATCTATTTAGATATGCTTTGTAAAAAGGAAATATATTAGCAGCATTTATTTTCAGCAATCACACAGCCTACACCCATGCAGACTAAGAGTTCATATCTATTTGCAGTAATGTAGTGCTTCCTGGTCTTAAAACAGCGATCCTGGTGACACACTGGTCTTCTCATTATTATAAAATAACCGAAAAATAAAAAAAGTCATTAATTTCTACACCAGTAAGAAAAACAATTCTTTGCACTTACCTAACATTTGATTGTCTAAAAAACATTTTGTTTAGTCTTTCAACAAAAGAAAGATAAAATGACAGAGCTAGTGTCTCGCTTCTGTACGCACTTTATTTTTTTAAAAACTTTTTAGTGTTTAACACCATTTGAGACGATGATTTCTGTTTTAAACTAAATGAGACAACTCAAGATATTGGACATGCGATATTCCTACTACACGCACGAGTATTTTATACTCAGGGTTCCTGGTACTGTACAGTGCTTCTCTACAGTAAGAAAATATTCCAAACTATTTTCTTATTTCTTTTTTTTTTAATAAAATATTTTTTTTTCTCAAAGGGTTTTTTCCTTTCTTTTTTTTTTTTTTTTCCTTTTCAAATCAACACGTAAAAGTTAATGGAATGAGTCATGTTCCACTACGAGTAAAATAATTATAATAATAACAAGAATGTACATTAGGACAAGCTTGGTCCATTAAAAAGGAACATGTAACTACTGTATTGCTTTACATCCACGCAGCAGATATATACAACTTGGCACATTAAAAACTGGTTTCCTTATAAGAACATCTAAAACAGGACTGTATATGCATATGTACGTCTGAAAGACAAAAAAGCAAAGCCATCGTAGAGGGGCAGCGTGCGCCCAGCACCCCGCCCGTCCCTCTGCCTGGGCGGTGCCGTGGCGAGAGCTCGGCGCCCCGGCCGTGGCTCTGGGGGTAACACTTCTGGTCAGGGCAGAGGGAGAGGGCGGCGTGAGACACACTGTCCCTTAATTTAAGAGACGGACATTTTAAGCTGTACAACCAGAACACAAGAATAGTGTTAGCAGTTGATATATTCTACAGTTCACAACAAATACTCGCTCTGAATACTGCTTGACGGTTCATGTAGTGAAGGTTTCTTTTTTTTTTTTTCCTTTTCCTTTTAACAATTTTAATTTGCACAACACACTAGACACACGAGAACCACAGCTTATCAAAAAAACCAACAGCAACGGTGTTGTCAGGATTTGACTTGATTTATAAAATTTCTCTGCAGAAAAGAAGTGAAAAAAGCCACGTCCCACCCCCTCCCTGCTGCAGAACAAGTGCCTCAACCAGCCAACTCCTGCTTTGCTCCAAGGGGACTTTGGAAGTTTCTCCTTGTCACAGACCAAAGGTACACGTGTGCACTGGTTGTTCCATGGTGAACCTTTCTCACGTTTAGGTACGTTTCTTTCTTCTTGGAACTTGTGCAAATCAGAAGCTGCAACTTTATGGCAGCCTTTAACTTTAAGCCACTGTGCCTTCACCTCCCATCTGGATTTCGTTCACTGGCACGGGCCATGGTGGTGGCAACAGTATCTTGTACAATCACAGGTTCACTGGTGAACATGGGGAATATTCTCCTCAGAGTAAACCAGTCCTTAACCTTCTAACCTCCCCACCTATTTACTTAGTTAATTTAATTTGGTGGTTTTTTTTTTTTTTTTTTTCCTTCTTTTTTTCCCCCCCCTTTGAGTGGGAGTATCAAGCAAAAATAAATTAAATTTGACCATCCTGGACAATAACCACGAGGTTTTTCTCAGTACCTAACATCAATACAAGGCACGCCCAACAACACACACACCATAAGAGCACTGCAGAGCAGGGCAAGGCAACCCGCCAACCCAGACATCTAAGTGCGAACTGTTTGTATATTTGTCAGTCTTCTGCTGCCCTCTTTTCCTTGGCTGTTGCAGAGGAAGCTGGGCTCCTGCTCTCAGCCCTCAGCAGACCCTGTAGCAGACTCCAGACACAGCTTCCTTTCCTGGTATCACTTCCTGAAGCTGCTCTCTGGGATGGTCAGAGTGCGTCGCCTCAGTTTTCTTCCTGATCCTTCCTCCAGCAAGTACGTGACATCAATAGCTGCAAGAGACCACAGGCTTTTGGTAAAAGAAGCTGACCTGAGTTAACAGTTTTCCTGTTTTCCTGTTCACGGTTCTTCCAAGGATGTTTCCAGCCACACTGACACTCAAAACTCCACCGGACAAGGTGCTGACCAACCTGATTTAGGCTTGAAGTTAGCCCTGCTCTGAGTCGTGTTCAGACCAGATGACCTCCAAATATCCTTCCAACCTAAGCTACTCTGCGAGTCCATGATTATTTTGCATTAAGTCTCAGAACAGGAAAGAGACTACACAGAGCTCATCCTAGGCTTTAAATTAAAGCAGACACTTAAGCAGTGCAGCCACTGCACTCTTACTCAGCTTGGACAATACCGACAGAAGTTACACAGAACCCAATGGATAGCTTATTAAAGATCAAAAGACTTTCCAAATTCTCTTCAGTCTTTTTTTGCATGTCTGTTAAGTTTTTCAGTTGTAAACACAGAACAATGAGGAGGATTTTGTTGTCAGAAAGTTTTTGTGGTCACTAGACATAATACAAACCGTGCTGGTTCCAAGAAATTTAATTTGGATTTAGTGAAAATTGCTACTGTTGCAAAAGGAAACGTTGCTGCACAGAAAACTGTTAGTAAAGTCGACTACCAATAAATTCAGACAACACCATTTATTTTATCAACACGATCTGCAGCAAACTGAGAACAAACCTGTGGAAGAAATGCTATTGTGTGATCATAGCATAAAATCTCACCATTTTTCCCTGGGATTTTCTCTAAGAGGTTTAGCAGGATTTGATTGAGTCTCTCTCTCTGAATATGCCGCCGTTCCTCTGGAGTGCACAGCTGCCGTGGGCTGGAGTTGCTTTCTTCCACCTTTTTATCAGTTTCACAGGTCTCACCAGAGGCTGCCTCTTTGTCTGGCTCCTCAAGGCCAGGTATCTCACTTGAGGCTTGATCTTGGTTTCCCAGTACATCCTCAATAAGTGGAAGAGAATCTTCTTCTTGATTTAAGTCTTTAATCTGTGGTTTTGAGCGATCTGTTTTCCAGGATGATCTACCAGGAGAAGACATATTTAAATACAACATTTTTCAGACACTCACCTGAAAGGCAAATTACTAGTGAGTCAAGGACTTCTCGGTAGGTTGGGGGCTTTCTGGAATCTCAGTCATTTGACTTAATACCTGCCTTCAAACCCACCAGTGACTCTCTATGGGAGGCTGCGTTCCTGTAACTTTGTTTCCATCATGTCAAATGTACACTTTTAAAAACAATTTGCATTTTAATTTCAATTTGTAAAGGTTTTTACGTTCCACAGCTCAGCACTTACTGATGTTTTTCTGCAACAGTCATGGCTCTGATGGCGATTTTTAAAAGTCTCTAAGAGAACTGACAGAGTGCCCTGGCTCCTGTTACAATGCAGACATGGGCAGTCTGTCAGGGATCCGACCTCCCTGGGCACAGGAAGGCTGAATGCTCTTGTCCTGGGCTCTGCCATCTTCCACATTCAGCTGCTTCTGCTACGTTTCAAATGGCTTCTGTACTCTTCCTTATGTACAGTATTAAGGAAGACTGAGGCTGCTTCTACACTCTCTCCTTCCTCACTTGTTCACTTTTATCTCTTTGGAAGCTTAGAGGAGTGCTTAGAATAATTTAAACATTATTTATATAGCACCTAAGAGAAATGGGTAGGTAAAAGACAAGGACACTTGACAAACAAGCAGGATTACCTTATCTCGTCTCAATGAACAATCTGGTAGGTAAGACTCACCTGCCTCCATTCCTCTTGTAGTTGTCTGGTACATAATGAGGCTGTAACAACAATAAACACTATAGTTAATGCCAAATAAATGTACTTAATTTTGCTGCTGATCTTTCTGCTGTTTTTTTTTTTTTTTTAATAAGACATCCATTTTGAGTGAGAATTACATATTAAGTAAGCAGTATGTCACTTAATAGGACAGGGAAATACTGCTTTTCTGTATTGGGAATCACCAAAGGTACTGCTGAAAACCATTATTTTAAGCGAGTTTATTAAGACATGGAGTAATTACAACAAAGGAAAGAAAGCCCGATGCAGACAGGTTAACAAAACAAACTCACAATGTTGTGTGATTCTCCAAAACATATAAAATTTTTTAAGTTGCAGAACGAACTATGACTGAAAAGTGTGTTTCAAGACTTCCTTCACTCAGGAGTGGCTTAAATGAAATTAGCATCTAGATTTCAGTCAGAAACGACAGCCTCTAAACTTACACATCACTGTTTGTTCAACATGTTTGCCTTTAAACGGCATATTGTTGTGGTTTGAGGCTTGGGGGTGGGACAGGTGATCTCTAGGACCCAGGAGGGTCCCAGGGGGAAGCAGTTTATTCCCTCCCCTTCCTCTGCCACCTCTTTAAAAAAGGTAGGAAGTGTGTGCTTCGCTCTCTCTTGCCCTGTTGCTCTAGGTGTTGGTGTGCTGCAGAAATCAGCGTGCCTTATTCCATGCGGTCCTGAGCAATCCTACTGCCATCTGAGATTTGGGTTTTGTGTATCTTGTTTACTTCGTATTCCTCCCATCTTTGTATATATATAGATCTACCTCCCTTTTTGCTTTCTGTTCCCTGTTAAACAATATACTTTATTTTATTTAACTTCCAATCAGTGCAAAGTGTCTCTTTGGGGGCAGCACACAAAATTCTGTTTCATGGAAGCTGGCCCTGAGCTCTGATACAGAACCAGAACACACATTCTCGGCCTACAGTCAATTTTTCCTTCCAAGCTTTCTTTCTAGCCAGCCAGCTCTTCATCCAGACTGTGTATGTTAGTGTGTCAGCTTCCTTTGATTCACCAAGCTTCGTTAATAAACAGAGAGCCAGGGGCTTTCCAAAAATATGTACAATCTCCTAGTAAAAAGTATGGAAGCTAAGAGAATAAGCACTTACTGAAAAGTCCCTCTTGGGTGCGAGTTTCTTGGGGAAGTGGTCAAAGGCATAGGGCTTAGTGCACACAGGATAACGATTCCGGTGGATTTTGTAGAAGAGGTGGGCTGATTTATCAAGGCGGTAATCACAAATGTATACATCCTGTTCCTTCACACCTTTTGGCCTCCCTGCAGTTTCAAAACAAACCACATAGGAAAAAACGTTAATCAGATTCAAGATGAAACCCGTGGCGTACCAGCACATGAACAAGCCCTGCCCAGTGTCCAAGATGCAGGGGGCTGCCAGAGCTGTTCAGTGGGATGACAGGCATTCCT